GGGGGGGGGGGGGAGTTGGAAGGTTGAACCTTCTATGGAAATTTATGGAGATACCTTCTGCAACCTTCTCGACCCTTTACAACCCTCGTTACCCCCTCCCCTCTCTCTTTCTCTTTCCCTACCACCCAAATCATCCCCCCGCACACGACACACGTCTTACGAAGTCGCAGTCAGACGGCAACGCTGACGACGCAGCCCACCCTCCCCTCCCGCCCCACCCTTTTGCACTTTCTTCACCATCCGGGCGACGCCTTCTCTCCCACCTTTTCTTTTTTGTTCCTTTACCCGTTCCGCGGGCCATTCCCTGACCTCGGTAACCTTGACCTAGGTTCTGTCGGATCGATCAGTCGATGGGTGGGACGATCCTGCACCACCTCCCCTCTTTCCCCTCCATCGCCCTGGCACTGTACTATCTGCAATCAGCCCCCCCCCCCACTTACCCCTATTCCTTTCTATCTCTCGTAAAACAACTAATTGCCTCGAGTCACTAGTCAGCTGGATGAAATTCTATTTTTGTTTTTGATATCATAGAGTTTGTCTTTTTTTGTCTTTTCTTTTTCTTCTTTATTCCGTTTCATCATGGATAATTGTATCTTTCGTGGAAGGGGGCCCGTCTTTTTGCGCTACGGTCGATATTCCAGGAATATACACGCCAGTCGTTTCTTCTGGGGGTGCTTTTTCTTTTCTTCCTTTTCTTGTTTGCTTTCTCTTTTTACGAGAACGGAGTTTTACTCGGGGAACATGGAGAACTGGTAACAATTGGATTGGATCTAGTAGGCTCTACTGGTTTTCTTGCTCTTGGAATGATCCTTTGCAAGATATTGCCTTACTGTTGTTATTATTATATTGACCAGCCGACAATCTTTGTGTTTCAGATATCGCATTGCGCAACTCGACAATAACGGCCGATCGGTGCGACGTTTCGGCTGTTCGCGATAGGAGAGGAAAGAGGACGGTGAAGGGAATACACGGAGAGAGAGAGGGAGAAGGGAGAGAAAGTGAAAGAAAAGACTCAAGTGCTAACCGCGCGATCGCGTTACGAAGGGAGGGAAATTGAAAAAAAAGTTCCCAAACAAATTTAGGCCTTTCAAGTCGTGTGATTTTTACGAATTTTCACACTCGCGCATTTTATTTTTTTTTATTTTACTTTTCTTTTTCAAAAAGACTGATTTCCCGCCTGGCACCCTTAAGGAGTTTATAAAGATGTGATATAGTAGATCGAGCGCAAAAAAAAGGGGGCGAGATCGAGCGAATCGAATTAAAGGGAGAAAGGGAAGTGAAAGTAGAGTGAAATTGAAAGCGAAGAGAAAGAGGCGGGGAAAGATAAGTGATATTTCAAGTCGAATTCAAATAAGGGTGACTCGATCTGGGCTCGTCCCTTTTTTCTTTTTCGAACCTTTTATCAACCCTTAGGTCGAGTTTTCGGGTATTTTCGGTATTCGCCATTCATTTTCTTATCCATTTTAGGAAAAAAAAAAGAAAAAAGAAAGTTTCTCGACTCTACCCCTACTTTCCCTCCAGTTAAGAATAATCCATCCCTCGAACATTTCCAGGATCTGCTGCCCCCGTACATCCGTAGTTTCTTAATTTTCATAAAGCCAATATTCCGGGCAATTACAACGTACAGTAGAATATTTTATCTTTTTTGAAATAACAAAAAAAAAAGTTACAACAAACAAAAGACGCGTCTGTCCGACCAATTTTCTCTTTAAATATCGAAAAGTCTCTTTATGACGCCTTTACGAGTAAACAGCGAAACTACTAAGTATTAATTGGCCACGTTATATATATATATATATACATATATATATAATGTAACAGAGTGAGATAAAAAGTATAAAAAGAAGAAATATCTTAAGCAGTATTCCCAGTACTAGGCGTTTACGACTAATTAGATACTAATTAAGCGAAAGAATTTGTCGGGACTGTAAATAAAGTGAGAAAGAACGGGTAAAAGTTTCGCTTTAGTCAAAGTCGACCATTAATCTTGATAACAAAAAGGAGAAAAAAAAAGGAAAATAAAAGAAAAGAAAGAAGAGGACCGTGTTGAGCACGGTATATATACACCTTCTATGTAATAATTGACAAAGAGGACTCTTTAAATGAATAATAAAGTTACAACGTGACATATATATATATATATATATCTACGTACGGGTGACCCAGGAGAATAATAAATACATAAGTAAAGTTGAGTAAGAAGAGTAAAGAAGGAGCGAGAGAGAGAGAGAGAGAGAGAGAGAGAGAATAATCGTTAACGTTGAATCGCGTTGAGCGCGTATTATAATTAATGACAGAGAGTTTTTAATTAACGAAAGCTTAATAAGCTCGTGCAAGAGTGTCGCGAGTGACGTTAATGATAAGAGACGATAAAACTATAGGAAGTGTCTTGCGAAGGGATAAGAGGAAGAGGGGATAAATTATTAATCAACGCCTCTACGAGTCTTGTGCTTCGTACTATAATATATATATATATATATATATATATATATATATATATATATATATATATATATATATATATATATATATATATATATATATATATATATATATATATATATATATATATATATATATATATATATATATATATATATATATATATATATATATATATATATATATATATATATATATATCGTCAGTATGTACAAGGAGCATCCAGGTAATTCCTCGACGAGCAGCGCCTCGGCAAAGGACGGCGACGTTGAGCTGGTGAGCAGGTTCCTGGCTCCTTTGTGCGCCAGAGACGAAGCAGCCAGGAACATAGCCCTGGCTGCGGCGAGGACGACAGTCGAGGGATGGCTGGGAGGTGTGGGCAGCCCAAACAATTGGGAGGATAGTACGGAGATGGAAGATTTGCCTGATACCCCGGGAAAGTTCAAGGGTCAGGATGGCAGGTGAGCCTGAGAGTGCAATCAATTTATTAATGTTATACAATTTTTTTTTTTTTTTTTTTTTTCGGGGAAAATTTTAATCCAGTTCTTTGGGTCTATGTTTACGTTAATATTCGGAAAGAAAAAGTTGATCCACCAAACAGGAAGTATAGGAATTGCTGATGGAAGGAAATTAAAGGGAAAAAAGGAAGGGAGCCTGCGGATTATGATTTTGGGACGTGGCGAGTGTATTTTTGGTTTTGGAACCTTTTGCTCGAGTGGCCATGAGATCGAATTATTTTGTGGCGTAGACACGCGATACCGAGTGACATAATAATAGCTGTTCGAGTCAGCTGATTTTATGCTGGCGCTAATCTCCTGTAAACGGACACGGAGCGTTACCGGTGTAAGATATTTTGTCACTGATAATAAATCATTTCTTGCGTTCGTACTTGGGAATGATTTGGCAGTGAATGTTAGTGACTGGTTCTGCCATTAGTGAAAAATTAAATAAATGTTGGTAGAAATTGGCTTTTGGGTGTAAAATATTGAATTTTGTTTTTTTTTTTTTTTTTTTTTTTTTTTTTTTTTTTTTTTTTTTTTTCCAGGTACGACATGAACATCGAGAGGTCGCCACTGAAGTCAGCACCGAAGAACGTTCATGGTTCGGGACGGAGTCAGCTGCTTCAGGACACCTTCAGGACGGAAGGATTCTTCCCTCAGAGTATTACGGAGAATCAAGCCTTCCTAAAGGACACAAGTCTGGATTCCACCGAACATTATCCTTTGGGGTCCTTCGATACGGTGGATGGACGATTTGGAAATGAGACGAGCTTCGGGACGCCGTCCGAGAGGAGGAGGTACCTGGGGGGGGAGGGGCTCGAAAAATTAGCTCAGTCGAATTCCTCGGACGAGGGCAAAGGGTTCACGATAGAAGGTCGAGGGTTGAGGTTCAGGGAATCCGAGCCCAGGTTCAGCTCATCGAGCGAGAGCGAACGGAAGTTCCTTGGAAGTTCGAGCGAGCGGCTGAACGAGCATCCGGATGAGAGGAGGAAGGAAGAGAAAAAGTCAAAGAGCAAAGCCAAGGGCGTCAGGCAGAAGGTGGAGGATGACGAGCTGGACTCGGACACGAGGATTTATGGGAAGAGTCCTAAGTTCGACGATGGGTTTTCTAGTATGCGTCCTGTGTATCCTACGGGAAACTGCGATCTGGCAAGTGGAAATTTTGTAAGCCGGGACGAACGCTTCGTAACCGGCGTCGCTTTCCGGGAGTCTGAGCTCGACGTGGATGACGAAGGAAGCTCGATGATCGAACCAGGAGTCGTTTTTAATACCTTGGATGGGTTTGATTCTGAAAATATGGTCATGTGCTACGGGCAGGATCTTCCTGAAGGAGATGAGATGAATCTGGAGAATGTGGAGTCCTGTCCTATCTCTGCACCTGATCACAGGGACCCTCTGCAGTTTCATCCGACGGAGATCCAGGATTACCTCAAGCATGAACCAGGGCGCAAGTTTAGCGCTGGACAGATAAAGAGACCGCTTTCGCAGGACGAGGACGTCTCGACTAAGAACGGCAGAGTCCTGGAGAGTCCTGAAGTCAATCCTGGAGACGTTGGGAGGATGCTGAATCTTGGTAACGCCTTGGATGGTCCACGTCAGGCGCAGGCTAATAAATATCTCAGCCTGGTTACTCTGCATCTACCTGTCATTCTGCGATTGAGCGTAAACTGTCCCTTTCATAATGTGAGGATCAAGTGTGCGGAGATCCTGGAGATGGTCAAGGTGAGTCTTCACGTTTCTGAGACAAACTCATCTCTGATTTGCTAAGAAGAGGGCGTCGCGTTATCATCTAACCTTCTTGCGACTCCTGCTGAAAACGTGGACAGCTTCTGAAATACTTGTGAACGCCCAGCATCCCGCATAGAAAGAAATTTAGTAAACATGGTATTTGTCTTCATTTTTAAAGAAAGTTTCAACATTTTTACATTTCTCCATCTCTTTTACCACTATTTTTGCATATCAATGCTATATCGATAGAGTTGTTTTGACTGGCAATTTAAGAGTTGTTGCGAAAAATAATATCTAAAAATACAGTCTTCCTTTAGTTACTGCGTTCATCGCTCCTGCAAAACAACTCTAAAGTATCGATCGAGGCTATTTCACTTAAAAATCACGTAACGGTCGTAAAGTCGAAAAAAAAAATGAGCAATTTTCAATCCTGCGAACAAATTAAATGGGCTTTTAATTGAATTAAACGGATAATTTATTAGGAATACGTACAGTATCGGCGCATTGTAGGCCACTGTACAATTACAATGAGCCTATATACGGTACCCGTCGATTCTTATGCAAAACTGTGTAATTACGGTGATCAGAATTTGCAAGGAATTACTGCGCGACACTTCAGTTCCTCTGACACTATGCTATTGTATCTTTTATAGTGCAGTATAGTAGGATGATACTATAGGAAGATGCATTGTATACATTGTAGGCATTGTAAGCATTCGTAGCATTACGGGTATTGCATTCGTTCGTAAGGCAACGCAGTTAGTCCTCGTTAGCAGCAACGTAACGGGTGACCGAATAAAAGAAGGCTAATTCGCATCTAACTGTTCTATCGGTGCTCGATTGTAGCTCACGTTTTAGTGGAAATAGAACGGACGTGGTAAAATTACTACGTTATGCAGGGATGTAATATTGAAAAAAAAGACTGATGACGAAAATATGTAATTATTAAGTCGTAATAACAAGTTTGAGTGAATTCACTAGAAATAAAGCAAAAAAGTAATCGCCCAACGTGGGGCTCGAACCCACGACCCTGAGATTAAGAGTCTCATGCTCTACCGACTGAGCTAGCCGGGCCTTGTTAAACGTATTTTAGGAGTACCATCATATTCGAGAAATAATGACACAGATCTCTATTTCAGGACAGAGGACTTTCAGTGCCGGAACCTGCGTTCGATGGACCCAGTGCCTTCGTTCCAGTGTCGGAGGTGAGTTTATTTTAATGTTTGAACCGCATTTATTTATTTTTTAAGTTTCGGAGCACAGAAATTACAGCAAGACCAGATGATAAAATATGTAAACTCACCTTCGTTTTCGTGACAATTGGCGATTCACATAGGAACGTTGATTTGCTGACTATAAGATTTAATTGACTTTCCTGATAATTGCGAGAAGTGAAATTGGTCTCACAAGAAATTATTTTAGTACAGCCTTCTCCTTTCCTTTTCTCTTTATTAGTGTAATTCTGGAATTCGCGTCACGCCTTGTAGAAACGAGCGCAATTGGCAGCACGGCTTGCGCTAATTTTATTAGGGCGATGAGCGTCGATGTCGACGAAAACAAAACAATTGTCAGTGCTAAATCCGTACGTGTCCTGCTCTCATTGGTTCTCGATCGGTAAAATAGATTCGGCAATGAGCCATTAACGAAAGTGTTAATTCATTAGAAGCGCCGCGACGATATTCGCGGTAATAATAAAAGAATCGAGCAGCCATGCTTATATGGTGGACATTTATTTGTCCCCTCATAACCTTCAATTGATTCTAATTGCGAGCAATCAGGCTCTGTTATCTCCAAACGGGGTCTTCATTGACGTACGTTGGTAGGTGAGACTGCCCTACCTTACCGACCGAGTGTTACACGCGTTCCATATACTTCAAATCTTCCCTCTTGTAAGTTCCTGGTACTTTCAACAGATGGCGACAGCTTATCTACTCACCTATCATTCCCTATCAGACCAATAGACCAGACTCAAGCTCAATCGACACAATCTTTCCTTTCGTGACAGTTTGGAAACGTGATATGCTTCAAACTGAGAGCGCTCAATCGATCGAATATATTTTCCCGCCCTCTGTCTCTCTCGGACAGATCAGAGAATCCCAATGAGTGCGGCGAGCGTGGCGATTCGCCAGCTCACCGGGGGCTAAGGTCGCAATTACTGCGTAACGTGCTCTCTTCTATTCGCTCGTTCGTTTCATTCAAACGAGGCAGAATTCATCAAGCCTCATCGTGTAAGATCAAACTGGCCATGATCCAGAAATTAAAAAGTACAGCTGAACTGTGTCGTGTCCCATTAGAAAAAAATTTATTTACAAAACTAAACATAACAAAATTCACATAAATAAAATAGCTCATTCTCGAACAATCTGTACATTCGTCACTCGTCCAATGAAATACCGCTCCAATATAACATATAATTAATAAAGACTGAATCTCACATAACCAACAAATAATTCTATTCACAAGAGAATTCTCTTTCAATGGTTCCACACGAAGCCCTTTTTTCCCTATAAAATCATAAAGAGACATCCGCCCCATTTTCCCTCCCCTTTTACCACCCCTTTTATACGTACTCATTCTTTCCTTCTCTAATTCTCATTAATTCGGCCGGACGCGTCACTTCGTTTAGCTCGCTGACTTCGTTACGAGTTTTACTCGGCGCAGAGTCTGCGTTCCTCGTAATTGCGCCGTAATTGAGTTAGACGAACGTTTCGCCAGGACCAAGCGTTGGCAACATCGCCCACGGATTTCTGTTTGCTCCTAAACCAAAAGTCAAGTTAAATCCAAGCCCGAGAAAGAAAAAAAAAAAAAAGAATAACAAATCAATACCCATATATACATACAGATATACAACGAGCCTATTTTTCAAACATTCTCGTCCTATAAATTATTATCGTACCACCCAGTATACTTTCCAATATTTCATATCCACATTTTAATTAGATCGTTTGATACCTGCGGATCCCAGGCACTTTGGAAACTCCCATATGAAACTGTGTACCTTCAATATGCGCCCGTCAAATATTTACCCAGTCGTCTATGTGAAATCTCGAGGATTCCAGTTCCACAGTACTCTACGTCGCTGTACACAGTGTTGCCAATCGATCCGGAATTAAAGCCGCAGGCTGCGAAGTGTAACTGGTTACGTTGAACCTGGACGGCCGTAAGAAGGCAAAGGGGACGTACGTATTCATTGCCGTTCGCGCTCCGACGCCACCCCTAAGCCTTTGCTATTCTCGCTCACGCGTTATGCAAAGCCTCCCTCTGAGGGTATGAAGACCCGTGCGAAGATACCGGTCGAGTAGACGAGACACCTTACCGGTTGGATTTATTTTTATTACCTTTTCTTTTTACTTGGAAAATCTTTCCTTCGCTTCAATTAATTAATGGGCAGCATCCTCCGCTGATTCTTGGCTCTCGTCCTTCCTGCGATTTATTTAAGCATAATTCTACGGCGTCTCTCTGGAGTCTGCTTGAATTTTATAATATTAAGTTTACTGCAAGATGCGCGTCTTATCTTGGAAAAATGGTAGGAGGTATTAATTTGCGCCCGGGGCTTTTCTTTAATTTTCCATCTTTTACTCCTTTTATCTTTGCACGCTCTTATCACTCGGACGCGCTTTCCGCGGCCGATACGCTAGCTGGCTTTTTTTTTTTTCTCCTTTAGAAACCGACTGAGGCGTCATCGCCGAAGACGTGGTCGGTGGGGAGAAGGAGGGGGAGGGGAATTCTTTCCTCAGAACCGGAAGTCACGAATCACGTGCGATTCGACGCTGCGCGATTCGCGGGACGCGCGAATCGTCCTTGCAATTTTTTTATTTCCTTTTCGTTGTCCTTCGAAATCGCGCCTTCGTTCCTTCCTCGTCAGACGGAAAGTCGACTGCTTCCTTTTCTTCTTTTGGAAATCCAGTGGCGCCCCTGGGCGTCTAGCGGCGTCGTTCCCCTTCTTGTCATTATTTACAGTGGGATTCTCTCGTCTGGTGTTGCGTCCTTTTATCCTGTTTTTTACACTTCCTTTTCCCTTCCGTATCACCCCGGGTTATTCGCTCTTGTCTTCCGTGACACGCGTCGCGACGCCTCGTCCAGGCCGACGAGCGTGACAAATGTCTTCTGTTCTTATTGTAGATATTTTCTCTCTTTTTTTTTACATTTTTTCTCTTCGACCCTTTTTTTATTATTTTTTGCAAAAAATTATTCCTCACGAATTTTTCCTTTTTTTTTTTTTTCTTCCTACGGGTTACCAATCTTATTCTCTGGCGATGCCTTTCGTCTCCTTGTAATTTATTTTCTTGAACATACCGGAAGTCGCCGGATGCACGAGGACGCTGAAGATGTTAACCGGGTGACGTTTTAACGTCTTCCTGAATTATTGGGAGGCTGACTCTTCCTCTTGGAAGGCATTATAAAGTAATCTCGCGGAGTGCAGCGTGATTGAGATAAACCGAAATCTATTATAAAGATCAGGCGGGCTGGGGCGAAGATAGTCGGGGGGTGGCTCGGGAAGTTTAGAAACTTTTGGAAACGATATACTGAACTCCGAGCCAAGTAAAATGGGGAATACGTGGCAATGGGGTAACGGGAAACTGTACCAGTAGAATATCAAGTGGAACCAGGGAAATCAGTGGAGAGTCTGGTTTTTACTTTTTTTTTATATTTTTTTTTCAAAAAAAAAAAAAGAATTTATACACTCACGTGGATCATCCGCTTGTACCCTGTACATAATTGTACGTACAGTATATGCTTCTAGAAGATTATATACAAATGGCTCGACTTTTATACATATACAGTATATAAGACACCATTTTTCCAGTATCAATCAACAGTAAGAGAGTTTCTTGAGGAGTTTTTCAAAACATTTTGGAACAATTGCCATCCGGTAATTTTACTCGGTTTTCTCTCTGCCTGCCCCACTTTTATCTTGCACTTAGAAGCTTCTCCCGTTCTCCAAGCTGGATTCTTTTATTTTTTGGTTAACGACCCAGTCGAGCCAGCCAGTCCTCCTACCGGGGTAACACAAGCCAGTCCCCCCCACGTAGTCTCATAAGGATGATGACCTCATTGCCATAGCAATTTACATGCTTTTTGGAGATTTTCGTATCAGGTGTATATAGTGTGACGTGATTTTACGAATCACGGTCCCAAGGCGGCTCCGGTTACCGATACAGATAACGTTCTCGATTTCTGGTTCCCTTCGGGTCACCACCCTGCTCAGAAGCTACGCTCTCGGGTTGACTCGTACAGTTATGTCAAGGCTCTCGTAAGATTTCGTCATTGTTTAGTTGAGGTCGAGGTGCTCGAATCTGCCGTGGGGAGATAGTCTCGACGTACCGAGTTGCCCGGCAGAGGAGACGACCCGACGGAGACGTCTCCACGGACCGGCGGAAGCCCGGGTGAGATACCGGCGCCCCGCTGGAGATGGGCAAAGGGCTGTAGAGCGGGCGGAGGTAGTTTTCATACGGTTAAGGGCAGGAGAGGAACCTCCTGCCCGAGTTGAGGATGTGGTGCTCAGCTGTGGAGGATCTCCAGAAGTTACGTACCGATTCGTTAAGGAACGCTCTCGATTTGGTTTAAAGGGACGACTCGAAGGAGATGGAAGAGTCATCGGTTATAAGGCTCTCGACCAATCAGATGATCAGAATTATTAGTTATCGAATTTGGATACTTTGTCAAAGCAGTCTGTCTCGGGTCACCGACCGAGGTGTCACGAGGGACATCGCGCTCCCGTGCTATTTGTTGATAGTTTTTCTTGCCGTGTTTCGCTACGCTATAGCAAGTTCTCGATTCGTACAGTTCTCGCGTTGTTCTCGCGATATCCAGGCAATTCTATGAATTCCTGTGAGTGTTCCGGAGGTGTAGTGCAGTGCTCAACAGAGTGTCCTTGGGATACAGTTCTTGGCCTCCACGGATTAGCTGCACCAGCTCCGGTGAGTCTCCCAATTTATTAATTGGTGAAGGGATCTCGATAGATAGTTAAGATTCGCTCTCTGTCGCTCGCGCTATTTGCCGGACTCTTACTCCGACCCTCTCTACCTCAAACCTAGCAGCCTGAGCGGCCGTGCATTTCCGTAACCGTCCGCTCCCGTCCGTGCATCCAGGTGCGTTTGCTGATTTCACGCGACCCCAAAGTTCAGCACCTACGGTTGCGTTTCTCGCTTTTACGCGTCCCCAAAAATCGACAGGATCCGTTAAGCTACCGCCTCGTCCGATA